TCAGGGAGTAGACTTCTTTGATCATGTGATCTGGTCTTCAGTGTAATATGATACTTTATTTGGAGGGTAGAGCTGGAGCCCATCAATACAACAAACGGGGTCAAGCATCCACTAAAAGGATGAAGCACTAAAAATACACCAGCGCCTCACACGCCATCTCAGCTAAACCACCACATGGAAACAACAATCTGACCTCAGATGAACATTTAGAAAATTGATTTTTAATGACCATATTTCTTGTCTTTTTCTTGTCTTAAATGTCTGTATATGTACAATTTAACCATCTCCAGTGAAAGATGCATTTAAAATTGTCTTTCCATAGATAATCAAACTCACTTTTGATTGGCACTAGGTTTTCTTTTTTAACTGTTAGAGTGAGAGCGTAGGGGTTGTTTCTAAAAATTCAGTTATTTTATTTATCCACATGAGGGTGTAAGATTATCATAACACTTATGAATAAGGTGAAGTTTGACAACCGCAATAGAAAAACATTGTTAAATTAATATTCTCCAAATGATCATTATGTTAGTAAAAGCAGAATTGGTGATGGAGCTCTTATATACTGGATCTCACATTTTAAATGCTCTTAATGTTTGTGGCAAAAGTGTCTCTTGTGGCTGTTCAAATAATCAATCAATTCAGGTCAATATAGTAAAAAAAAATGTCCAAGTTATGTTCTCAATAATATCCAGTTATTTTTTTTAACTGTACATCGTAAATTGACACGTGTTAATATTTATTGTGTTTCAAAACATTTTTACTCAAAGAAAATAATAATAGTAGTAAATAAACGAGCGAAATGGCAAAATTGCACACTCACCACTTATGAGCAAAATCGCATCCCATAGTATCCGAGTCATGGTGATTGACAACTAAAATAATTTGTCGGCCAGTTTGAGCGAAACGTGTGCTGAAAAGGCGCACTTTGGATTCCACAAATCAACATTTAAACTCGCTGGTGACGTGCACACACACAATGACACACACACGCTGCAGTCAATATATCACGCCAGAAAGTTTTTCGACGAAAGACAGTCTTTAACTTTTCTAGTGCAGGAACCTTGCCACCTAAGTGCGTTCAATTGAGGAAACCAGTGGAAGCCCCCTCAGAGGCAGGCCAATCAGAGGCGAGGACATTAAGATAGTGGCACCTCATTGGTCACTGCTTGAACGTCACTTTGTATTGACTGAATTTGTGCGTGCAAGTCACGCCCTCCTGCGTATTGATAGTTGACATTCTATTTAATTTAATACATAATTTATTGTTAAATTACAATGGACTAAATAATCCACCTCTGGAATTCAATAATGATAACAATGATAATGAGATTAATAACATCATCGTTTCATCATCATCATCATTTTTTATTATTATTATCTTTTTAAATAATGGTTTTGTTTTCAGACAGCAAGCATGTGCAGCAACAGAGCTGTGCAGAATATGTGACTAGCTTGTCATTTTTTCCATGTATTTTTTTTAAAGAAAGGTTGATTACACACATAATATAACTCTGAGAGGAGAAATAACAAAAACGATAATAAATAAAAATGTGTCAATCATTCTACGAATAGCCTAATAGCCTCAGAAAATCTCATTAAGATTATTATTATTATTATTTATTTATTTTTTTTTTACAAAAGCAAACAAATGAGATTTGGTAATGAGAAATGTTCTTTTTACTCGGTGGTTAACAACGTTTTCAGTCACGGCCATTTGTGGTCATTTGTCTTTCTTCCCTACTATTATCTCAGTGGTTTCAGTGAGCCTGTCCTATTTTGTTTATAATTCTGTTCATTAGGGTCAAGGGTAGGTTGAAGTCTATTTCAGCTAACTTTGGAAATTGCTCCATAATGACACTTTAAGGATTTGAGATTTGACGTTCATCGATGTACAAATGCGTTTGAAATTAAATCATAACTCAGAATGTAAAAAGCGCAAAGGAAAAAGAGGTAAAACAGTGACATCTGCTGGATTTTTATGTTACTGCAGCTTTATCAACGACCCCACTATTACAGATGTAATCCAAAGGGATTGTCTGTGAAATACAAATGTGTACAGTCCACATTTAGATTAACTTGAAGTCACGTAAATTTGTAGCCTGCCTCTAATTTATTAACTTATATTTCCATGAATGTGTAAACTGTTAGTGGAACAAAAGAAACATGCTGAGATCCAAACTGCTGATACCTTTAGGGAAAGAAAAATCATAACATCAAATTAATATAATTTGGTGAGGCGGTGTCCTTGTGGTTATCACGTCTCCCTCACAATCAAGAGGTCCTCAGTTTTTCGTTGTGGAGTTTGAATGTTCTCCACATGCATGTTTCCGTGGCACTCTTCTCCCCTCTTAGTCTGTGTGTTTCCACGCCAGCTAGGTTAGAGGCGACAATATTTAAATTTCACCGAGTCATCATGTTGTGAACACGTCACAATTTGTTCAAATATAATGGATTATTTTCTTCTATCAAAGCAAGAAACGTATTCATTTTTAAAGCTCTGGAAAGAGTCATATCAACTCTTTATCACCTCTTACCATGCACAATTCTCATCCAATCTTATTCAAACATCCATCCATTTTCAACGCTGCTTATCCTGAGTCGTCGGAGCCTATTCCCGCTGACTTCGGGAGGAAGGCAGACGACACCCTGAACTGGTCGCCAGTCAGTTGCAGGGCACATAGAGAGACAAATGACCATTCAAACCCATCCGCACAACGCACACAACTCCGGTGGGTGTACCACTACACCATCAAACATTCAGGAATTATTCTTGTTAAAGGAACAACACTACTTAAGTACATTTTCTGTATATGATAGTTGACCCTCAGGTACCTCAAGGTTGGAAAAATGCCACGTCTTTAAAAGATCTCCTCTACATACTGTAGTGTTTCCCATAGTGTGACGTACGGGACCCACTAGTGCAGGCATGTCTTGCCTGTTTTTTTTTTTATATATGTCTGCCTACTGCAGCACACCTAATTCAAATGATCAGCTCATCAGCAAGCTCCGAAGACTGATAGCGATCCTTATTGTACTTTCATTTTGGTGATGGTGATTTTGGTGGTACTTGTAGACATGAGTATTTTTGGAGGTGGTCATTGGTTTGAAAAAAGTTTGAGGTCCACTGCAATGTACAAAGTATTTAATTTTGTCACAGCAAGAATTGAATTTTCCATCCATGTATTTTCTGTAACTCTTGTTCTCATTCGGGATTGTGAGTGAGATGGAGCCTGTAGCAAACTGACTTTGGGCAATGACCCCCATACACCCTGGACTGGTCGCTAGCCAATCGCAAGGCATATATAGACAAAAGGCCATTCACAGACACATTTATAGCGATAGACATTTTGAATTACTGGATAAAGCAGGGCTCAAAGGTGAGGTTGCTTCTAACGTCTCCCTGCTAATGAGTGATCTTATTAAAGGGTTAAACACTGGCATCTGTCACTGGGGGACTCCTCGGATAGTCAAGTATTCACACCAATGTCGTTTAGAGGCTAAAGGTCACATAGTAAAATGTCAGTATCAAGGCAAACAACAACATGAGGCTAAATTCCATATGAAACTCTATACATTAATCTGATGCAATATGAAATTAAAACATCAACATCCGATAGGAGAACATCATCTTGGGGCATTAACACTAAATTTCGTAGTTAATTATTAAATAATTGAATAAAGTAATTCGCTGAGAAGAGTGAGTCTGCTTATTTTGTGGCTTGAGCAAAAATAATTTCTATCATTAAATAGATCATAGCAATGTCATTTCTTTTGGTAGATCAAAGATGCACCACAAATTTTTATCTGTGTTACTGGATATTCGTCAGCGTCTTCTGAATAGATAAGATAAGAAAACCTTTATTAGTCTCGCAATGGAGAAATTCCCAATACACAGCAGCAAAGTTATGAAAGGAAGAAGTAGAACAACAAAATATAGGAGCTGCTGGAAAGGCAGCCACTCTCGCGGCGCCATTTTGAAGTCAAAATAACAAAAATAACACAACACAACACATAGGACACAAGACAGTCGTGCAATCTTCACCACTTTTCTGCATACACTTTGTTGTCCGAAGCAGTTATAGATGAAAGAGGAGAGGATCAAATTGTCCTTTCACCAGTGGATCAGAGACGTCATGCTGAAAATGTGCACACGTCTGCTACAAGCTAAGGTTTGAAAGCAAACACGAAGCTGGAGCGTCCATTGACGAAAAGAGGTTTATAGTTCACTTCTCCTGTCCCACGTAATCCGCTTCAAACTCCAAGCCGCGACTCCCAGTACCAAATCTGCATCGGCGCTCCGCGCTAACGCTCCTTTCTTCTCATTGTCGGCTCCGCAAGCCATGCATCCATCCAGCATCCATCCCACCCTCTTCAATAGTCTAATAATATGAACACTATAATATTCTACACAATTCATTTTTTTCATGTATTTTGATGTGATTCTGGGCATGCTCATCATCAGGATGATGTTGCTCAGTAAATTGAATATTGTGGGAAAATGTCCGTATGTCAATCAAGAAAAGGAAACTGTGAAATTATGACTCACTATACACAATCGTTTTATTTATTATTTTAAATAAATACAACCTTGTTTTTTTGGGTTTTTTTTTTTTTACAATTTTAATAATCAACCCAAAGTTGACCATTTCACGAAATCAGTATACAGTATACCATAAGAACCGATCAAAAATAGATTTGGGAACTCAAATACAACGTGCCGATTGAAAAGTTATTTTTAGGGGTGAGTTTAATGAATCGTTTATGAATCGATACGGTGTTACGTAACTTTTTTTGTTGAAATACTGAACTCAATGAACTTTGCAACTCTCAGTAGACACTTGTGTACAGGAGATCATGAGATAGATAGATAGATAGATAGATAGATAGATAGATAGATAGATAGATAGATAGATAGACAGATAGATAGATAGATAGATAGATAGATAGTTTTATATCGTTACGGACAGATCAGCTCACTAGTCAACCGCCCTGATGATGACGTCACTGCCGAAACAAGAAAAAGCCTCGCGAGGTACCTGATGCTCGGAGTTGGACCTGCCGGAATCGAACCGACGAACTTGCGACCACTTTGACTTGACCACGATGTCGCACGATGGGCAACAAAAGGTAGATAAATAATTAAGAATCAATCATCTATTTCAGAATTTATACGATCATTTTCTGTTTTATTGCTACATGAATTGCACACTAAACGGTGGCTCTAGAAGACTTTTTAAAAAGAAAATCAACTAATTTCCAGTCTTAAAAGCCTGAATGTTACGTCATCATAAGAATACAGTATTGCAGTTTCTGTGCTTCCTTTTGTTTTTAGGGGAGTTAAGATTCCTCAAGAATCAAGAGCCTTTTGACGAGCTAAATATATTATTCGAAAGTATGTGATCAATCTGTTTCATTCATGCCACTAATCTGAGCCAATGTGCAAATGTGTGCATCAGTTTAGCCACAAAATATCCCCAAAATGTGTTTGATTGTGTTTTACAGAGCAGCTCTTTGACACTGGTGCTAATGATTGCTTCTGCAGCCATTGGAGGAACTCTTCAATATGGATACAACTTGGCCATCATGAATGCACCCACTACTGTGAGTTTAGTAACTCTTTAAAAAAAACGTACAAAGCTACTCGTGCATTATTTTATACACTCACTGGCCACATTAAGTACACTATAGCAAGAACTGTGTGCTCATTTATTTGCAATATTAACTGTATGTGTTTTAAGTGTGCTTTGTACATAGCGGTAGTAGTATAGTAGTTGTGGTTTGCACTGCATCATAATGAGAGCTAATTTTGGGTACCTGCGATGATGCAATGCAATGTCTAGAAAACTACAAGGACCACAACAAACACATTGTTCAATGATTACCTCTGTGACTGTGTCACTCAAATGGGTCCGTCCGATATTTTTTTTTGTTTCCTCCAGTCAGTCATTAGCTTACAAGTGTCAAGCAAGTTTCTTGTGGTTCACTAAAGCAAGTCTGACAATCTTGCAAATTTTCATCTTCTTCTTTTTAAGGTTTTGTAGCTATTACAATGGCAGTTCTCTATTCGTTTTCTTTTTGAACCAAATTCATTTTTTAACATAAATTGAACAATATTCTATATATTGGGCTGTCACTATATTCAGTGACTTCTGATTTGAAATGCAATTAAAAGAAAAAAATACCGGTACATAAAATAATAAAATGCAGGGGCCGTTTAGGACAATATACTCAGAACACTTTTTGATCAGTCGTACTTTCTTAATTAAGCAATAACTGCAGCATGCACAAATGTGAATCTGTTTTATTTCATTGGTGATGGTTAAATTGCACTCCTGATGAATAAATGTCTTCGTTTATGGATGTAAAGCAGAGAAAATGGTTAATGAGTCTCAGCTTTGGTCACCCCGTGTTGTCTTTAGAGTCAAAAATGAGTAATGGACCGTGGCGTCTTCTTCTTGCAGTTCATACAGACCTTCATCAACGAGACCTTCGTGGAGCGCTGGGCCATCCAGCTGGAGAACTACCAGGTGACTCTGGTTTGGACCATCATCGTCTCCATCTTCTCATTAGGCGGCCTTGTGGGGGCTATCATCGCGGGGCCCATGTCCATTCGCTTCGGGAGGTAACAATCACGGAATACAGAAACTCAGAACTGTGATGCAGTGGTGCTCACCAACGTGCCAGGGCAGGTTTAGGTTCCGGCAGACCGAGGGCATTTTTTTTCATTTAATGTTTCCATTGGTCAGGAATGGAGTCGGCTGTGTTCACTCCCACAATGGCGCAGACGTCCATTTGTAAATACTAATCTTAATGTTATGTTTAAGTGACCTTGTAAATACAAAAATACTCAAATAAATAAAACTCCACCCATGCCCAGAGTTAGACTGCACTTTCCAGTAGACTGGCTACAAAAAAAGGAGCTCAACAACTACTCCGCATGTCTTCGTCTTTGTGTCATCTTCAGTCATTTGTGATGCAAGAGGAGTCGATAAGCAAATGAAGAATTTGTAGGAATCAAATTACTGGGGATGGTTATTTTTTTTCCCTTGTTTTTTGGATTGACGTAGTCGGTTAACAATATTTATGTTGATTGTGGTTGCACCTCTCTGTACCTTGTCATTAAATGTATTCTGCATTACCTTTCTTTTTGCAAGGAAAAAATGTCTGCTGCTCAACAACATTTTCCTCTTAAGCGGTGCCCTCTTGGCTTTGACAAGTCGAGCCGCCGCATCGGTTGAAATGATTATCCTGTCACGTGTCCTATTGGAATAAATGCAGGTTTGTTTTTTGTTTTTTTTGTGTCTACTCACTTCCAGTGACGAGAACTGCGATACCTCAACGGCTTCTTGCCTGTCTTGCAGGAATCAGCATGAATGTGCAACCTATGTATTTTGGAGAAAGCGCACCGAAGCATCTTAGGGGGGCTGTGTCCTTGTCCTGTGCAGTTTTTACATCTTTTGGTGTCGTGTTAGGACAAGTGGTGGGACTCAGGTAATCAGATTTTTTACATTTGTACAGTAATAATAATCATCACAATAATAATGATAAAGGCAGCGCCGTGAACTCGTGTTTAGCACGTCTGCCTTAAGCGCACTGAAAAATTGATGTTTATCGTTAAAATAGTAGCATATAATGAATCTTGTAAAGATACGAACACTGGATTTTCAACTTCTAGAGAGATTTTGGGCAGTGAGTCGTGCTGGCAGTATCTTCTGGCAAGTAACGCCATTCCCGGCTTGATTCAGCTCCTTACCCTGCCCTGGTTCCCGGAAAGCCCCAGATACTTACTCATTGACAGGGGGGACAAAGAGGCCTGCATCAGTGGTGAGTGCGCTCACAAAAATAACATTGTCGGCTCTGATTGTATTCTTTTTAGCAAAAGTGACGTATAAGGTAAAACAATTTTTTTTTAAAAAAAGCAAGCCCTCAAAACAGTTTTTATTTGTTTAGTAATATACTAGTTTCAATGAATTGAAGATAATTAGATTCAAATGTTATGAATGATTTAGTTTGCCGCCTTTATAGAGAATCACTTTAAACTGACATCTGTTCCACATTGCCCATGACAAAACGGGCAATTCGGTGGTCTTTCTTCTTCTCAGCTCTACGGCGGCTGCGTGGTTGCGAGGTGCAGAGCAGCGAACTGGCTGAAATCCTGCAGGAACAGGCCGAAACTAAAGGCATGAGGCCCAGGCGGCCTTGGGAGCTTTTTCGTGACCGCTCGGTGCGCTGGCAGCTCGTCACCGTCATGGTCATCAGCAGCGCCATGCAGCTGTGTGGCAACGACTCGGTACGACCTTTGCGAATGTACTGTAAGACTGGCGTAGCAGTGTCACTGACACCAACACGCTGGATCGGATGTTGTGGCCACGGGTTCCTTACAAGTGATATAGCAAGTTGATTGGATATTTGAGAAGATCCGCCGGCGGGTTTTGCATTTCCAAATTAAAAATGCATACAGATGTGAATGGCAGTTTGGAAATTTGTTCACCTACTCTTGACCGCCACAAGTTGTGCAATCTCCATCAAGAGACGGAATTAGCGATCTCATGTTGATCGGTTTCATAAACCATGAGAAAACTCGTGAAAACAGCCAAATGTTTCCAACAAACAAGGTGAAAATATGATTGTCGGGACAGCGGTCACTACAGTGGACAGCTTATCATGTTATCATGTTACAGCAGGGGTGTCAAACTCATTTTTTGTCACGGGCCACTTCGGAGTTACGGCTTTCCTTGGAGCTCCGATGTAAAATCGCAACGTTATTTTTTACCCATGACAATTTGACACTTCGGTACAGATTTCAGCAAGGATCATGAAGGTTGACACACATAGTTTGCTGCCGCGAGCCACATAAAATGACGTGGCGGGCCGGATCTGGCCCCTGGGCCTTGACTTTGACACTTGTGTGTTACATATTTTGTTCATTTCTATGAAACATTTTATGAATATTAAGGTTGAAACATTCACAAAATAATGAATTCCTACGACTTTTAGAGGCACGCATGTTATGTTTAAGTGGATTGTGATTATGAGGGGCTCCTTGGGGGGATCCTGGGCCTGAAAGGTGTGAGGAGAACTTTGCAGTGTTTCTAAGATTTTGGTTACCTCAACTTTATGATTAGATCAAAATATGAGAACAGCTCACAGTACGATGCAAATGAATAACTCGCTGCTGGCAGTGTCAATCAAGACTGAGTATTCTGATACTGCTCTAGTGTTGGATCTTATTAGATTGTACAGGTGTAGCTAAAGTTACGGCCGGTGAGTTTAAATTCCTTGCATGCTTGATGGATTTAGAGACGGCAGTATTAACTCCATTATGTAATCAACTTTGAATGGCAGGAACCCTTTGTTTGAATTTCAGACTCGCACTATTAATTTGCGTGTGTGTTTTTATAGCATACGGATGTATATAGCTGTTTTAATTAGGGACACATTTGCATCTGATGATGTCATTCTCTTCTAAATGTTCTTGTCTGCCTTCCAGATCTACTTTTATGCATCGTATGTGTTTAAAGAGGCTGGAATATCGACTGAACAAATCCAGTATGTCACAATTGGCACGGGCACGTGTGAATTCACAGCCTGCATCATGTGTGTAAGTCGCTTACATAACGTCGGCGCAGAAGAGGGGCGTGTCTAAAGTTATACGATATGGAATTCTCCTCACTATTGTGCTTGTAGTGAGAAGTGGGGTGGAACTGCACGGCGTCACGCTGAGAACAGTTGTGTATTTTAACTGCAGGAGAGGGGGAATTGTACTCCTGATATGACATGATTTCAGAACCTGCTGATTGAGCGGAAAGGTCGGCGGTTCATGCTGATGGGAGGCTTCATCCTCATGACTGTCTGGGCTGTTGTCTTCACCATTGCTTTGTCTTTGGAGGTACTTCCACTGAAAAGGCTTATAGGCTTATATGTGTCACAGTACATGTCAAGCGGATATTTAAAAAAAAAAAAAAGTCGACACAAAATCCATCCATCTATCCATTTTCCGATCCGCTTTATCCTAACGAGGGTCGCGCGGGGTGCTGGAGCCCATCCTAGCCGCCTTCGGGCAGTAGGCGGGGGACACTGAACCGGTTGCCAGCCAATCGCAGGGCACACAGAGACGAACAACCATCCGCACTCACACCTCGGGACAATCTAGAGTGTTCAAACAGCCTGCCATGCGTGTTTTTGGAATGTGGGAGGAAACCGGAGTACCCGGAGAAAACCCACGCAGGCATGGGGAGAACATGCAAACTCCACACTGGAAGGCAGGAGCCGGGATCGAACCCATGACCTCTGCACTGGGAGGTCGACGCGCTAACCACTGGACTACCAGGCCGCCTCTACACAAAATGCCAGAGGTTTTCAAATTAAAAAAAAAAAAGAGAGAAAAAGTGAATGAATGAATGAGACTAAAATAAATAATTGAAAGTTTTCCCACCATTAACGTGACCTATAACTCGTACGACTCAATCGAAGAAAAAGAAAGAAAAAGAAAAAAAAAGAACAACAAACAACTGAAATCACGTGGGTGCACAAGTGTGCACACCCTTTGATTACTCAGGGTGTGGCTGCGTTCAGAACTAACCAATCACATTCAAACTCATGATCCTCTGCTAAATTTATAGTAGCTCTGATTAACCCTAAATAAAGTTCAGTTGTTCTAGCAGGCTTTTCCTGACTTTTTTTTTCTTCACGTTGTTGCGCTAATACCGATTAGTATTTGAAACTTTTGATAATTCCCTCCACTTTGAATCAGGCCCCTGTTCCAGCTGAGGAATTTAAAAAAAAAAACTGAGCATGATGCTACCACCACCATGCCTCACTCTAAGTAACGTGGTGTGTTTTATAAATCGAATTAACAATCGACAAAGTTGCTTGATTTCATTTCATTTTCATATCACAAAACCTGGTATTCGAACGGGGGTGTGTAGACTTTTTTTAAAATCCACTGTAGATCATGTGAAGAAGTGTAGAACAGTCTAAAGCAGCATGGATGTTTTCTCCTCGTTCAGTGTTTATTTTGCATGACTTAACGTTGACCGTTCACACTTTGATTTTGGAACAGCACTTAATACCCTGGATGCCTTACCTGAGCATGGCCTGTATCTTCACCTACATCCTCAGCTTCGGCATGGGACCAGGTCAGTGGAAATCACAATAATAGTGGTGCAAGCATGAAATGTTAAGGTCTAAGACTCACACAGTAGGCCACTCGGATATCGTTCGTATTTGATGTGCTATATTTCAAACCCCGGACAATTATTAGGAGGACTGTGAGGTGCATGAATGAACAGGAAATGACTGGGGTTTTTTCATGTTACGTATTAATGTACAATTACAGTACATATCTTGTAAACACACGGTGATGTGCACTTATAGCTGGTGTGACCGGAGTACTGCCCACGGAGATCTTCAATCAAACTGCTCGGCCGGCGGCCTACATGATCGCCGGCTCGATGATGTGGCTTAACCTCTTCATTGTGGGAATGATCTTTCCATTTTTAGTGGTGGGTGCACACGTGTCACCATGTATTGTACAATACGGAAGTGTTACCAGACCCGTAATAGTGCCGTGCATTTCAGAAGGATGCGTGTTTTTTTTTTTTCCCCAGGTTTAAAATAAAAGTTTTTATTTTATCGCTTTTATCTTTAAACTATTTGAATTGGTGGTTATTGAACCTGTTTTGAAATGTTGAATTTTGCAGTACTTTTAGTCTCTCCGATTTTTGACTTTGTCTTGCCCATTGTTATTTTATTTGCAATGTTGAAGCCATTTATTCTGATTTGTTTTATTTCTTAAATTATTTATTATTTGATTTTTAATCACCCAATGACATTAATGATTCTACGCAGTATAGAAAATGGATAGATGGGATTTTAAAATTACTTAATTATGCACCACAACTGACAGAATTGATTTTTTTACCACACAGAAAGCCCATTTCTCACAGTAATTATTAATAATAATAATTATTATTATTATTAATACCGGCCGAAATACTGTATAACAACTATCTGTCTGACACTAGCACAGACTTCAGCTCCTTGGCTAGAGTTTGAGTCGTAAAAAAAACACATGCCAACTTGGAGTTATCGTCTGCTCAAAGACACACTTTGTTAAATCTTCCCTTTTGTGTTTTCTCTTTCCAGAGTGCGATGCGGCAGTATTGTTTCGTGCCTTTCGCGACAGTGTGTCTGATCTCTGCACTGTACGTCGCCCTGGTCCTGCCGGAGACCAAGGGCAAGTCGTTGTCAGCCATCACCGGCGAATTCCACAAACTCAACTTCAAAAACAAGGAGGGAGCGCACAGCGGTCAGATTCAGTATCAGCTGGGTGAAGTGTGCACATCCACTGCCTTGTAGAAAGAAGCCTGCTGTCACCACACCCAACTTTAGTCTCATAGAACTTTGTATTTTCACTTATTTGCACTTTGATTCAAATGCCACGAATGTTCAGCTAACTCTACAGCAGGAATAAATATTTGTGTGTAAATGTACAAGTGAGACCTCCAAATGATATTGGATGGTGGTGTGAAGGACAGGGCTTGTCATACAGAGGAATGTTTCCTTACATTTTTTGGTCCAGATAATAACTTTTGTACCAATTAAGTGAAATTGGATGATTTCCTCGGGCACATAATTTATTGTGTGTGCATCATCCAGAATTACACTGCAAATGTTCGCACACCATTCATTTCAGTGATGACCGAATATCACGAGCTTGTGGTTTACACACATTTTAAAATATGTTTATTTATCTCATCATGTGTTCTGCTTTGTGTTTTCAACAAAAGCCAATTAAATATATATTGTGTTATCCTTGTATTTGTTTGCCACTGAAACAAACCGATGGTAACAAGTCTTTTCTGAGACATTCAAGCATCAGCGTGCAGTGAATTAATGTCATTTGTAACACCAAAACATGCAAAAACTTGATTTTCAGTATCAACAGAGGTGTTTTGAATGTATTAATTAAATCACAGAAATTATATATTACACAGAGACTGAATGGGATATAGGTCACATGAATGGCGAAAGTTTGAAATTATTTTTCCAAAACCTGGCATTCCAAAAGTCACTAAATTCCTACTGCATCTCATTTGTCAAAATGTATAAATAATCATCACCCTGAAGTGCTGTTTTTGCAGTATTGTTCTTTTTTTTTAAGTCGGACTTTTTACAGCGAGTGGTCGGCGTGGCAATAAACAGAAAAGAGCTGATGACAAGACGATCAACAGGCATGATGCCGCAGGAGAAGCCCTCTGATGCCACCTGCTGGAGACAGACAGAAAACAGACCCATGACAGTTGCACAATACTGTACAGCGTGTGCGTTCGTGTGCGCGCGCGTGTGTGTGCGTGTGTGCGCGCGCGCGCGCGTGTGTGTGTGTGTGTGTGTGTGTGTGTGTGTGTGTGTGTCTCACACACACACACACACACCATACCTGTCAACCTTTCGGAGCGCCAACCCATATAAACTACCAAAAAAATCCTGATAAAGAGCAAAAAATCCTTATAACATATCAAAGCATTTTATATGTCAAAATAACGGCAGAAAAAAACCCACGAAATTTTTAATGATATTTATTGTAGATCTCCATCATACAATGGCAGGTGTATGTCTAATCATCATTCTACTTAGAATACTTATGAATACTCTGCTGTTTTCAACTAGGAACCACGTGATTTACTGGAACGTTACCGAAAATGAAAGCATTCGAGTAGACGAGCACCATTCTGGGCAAAAGCAAACGGAACTACCTGTTAGGGGGGAAAAAAAAACAAAAAAAAAAACGGAAATTTTCAGAATCCGTATGATTTGTGCGATATGGCCATATATATAACATTCACCACAAAATCCGTATAAAATATGGCTAAACCGGATGAGTTGACAGGGATGCACACACACACACACACACACACGCACACGCACATATATTCATTCTGGCCTCCCTGTGTGGAGTTTGCATGTTCTCCCCGGGTCTGCGTGGGTTTTCTCCGGGTACTCTGGTTTCCTCCCACATCCCAAAAATAATACATGGCAGGTTAATGGAACACTTTAAATTGTCCCTAGGTGTGAGTGTGGATGGTTGTTCGTTTGTGTGTGCCCTGCGAGTGGCTGGCAACCGGTTCAGGGCATCCCCCGCCTACTGCCCGAAGACGCCTGGGATAGGCTCCAGCACCCCCCGAGACCGTTGTGAGGATAAAGTGGATCGGAAAATGAATTAATGAATATATCAATAAAAAGAGAGAGAGAGAGAGAGAGAGAGAGAGAGAGAGAGAGAGAAAGAAAACATTTGGGTTTTTTTTAACCACATACACAGAAGACCTGTCCCATCTCTTTGACTTCAAAATCAAATGTAACCCTCGAGCAACGAAAGTTTGCCCACCCCTGGTTTGGCTGCACACTAAACTGCAGCCTCGTCATCCATGATGTGGGTTGACCTGCAAGTTTATATTTGGCCTATCGTTTCATCCTTTGAGTCCTTTTCTCGATTTGTTCTCGCATTACCTTCACATGGGAGTGCTAGGACATATTGTTTATCAAATTCAAATTCAAGTTTGGATGACTACGGTGTGTTTTATGATGAGTCGACTCTTGCCCTCTGGATTCACCTAATGTTCAACTATAATGCTAGATGAACTTGGTGCATTGTTGTTACAAGACAGACCAGGTTTCAACCGGAGTGGTTGGTTCAACACTCCATGTCATAACACAAAAATCTGGCACTTATGACATGAATGGACAACTCAAGCCTATTGATGTGTAACTCAGGGCTTCATCGTCCATATATTCTGCACCGCTGCCCAATCTGTGCTCATCATCACCAAAATCATGGACGGCGCATCAACCAAGGTAGGTTGAAAAATATATTTGAATCATACGTGCCTTCGCAAACACATCTGCAATTTTGCATGAAGAGTCCATTTTGAAATTACTGTCGCGAATATTCCCACATTTTCGTTGTTCGTTACAGCCACTCGGAACCTTCTGCTATATTAAAAAATTATCAGAAATACGGATGCTTGGAGCTATAAATTGTGTGCAGAACGCATTGCACTGGGCAGAGGTGCCTTGAGATACAAACTGTTGTTCAGTCCATTTTTTTTTGTTGCTTTGACTTGCAAGTGGCAGTGAACTAACATTCAAAAATTTTAGACAAATAATATAACAATACTCACAGGGATGTACGGTATATTCTTTCTATCCTATACGATGAACGACTAATACTATTGCACTTACAGTAGTTATGAAAGTCTTCTTCGTTTGTGTCTTCACGACTGAATTATAATACCCCACTTTAGCCAGGTTGCAATCAAGTAATCATGATGTACAAATTGTTGACTTCTTTACATTCTATCCGATTAAAGGATTGTATCTAAATGTGCTATGGTTTCCTATTAAAAGAAAAAAAAATAGTACAATAATTTTTTTCTTTTTGTTGGGTAACAGCGAATTAATGCCGTTTCCATTTCAACGGGGAAAGATGATCTGAAATTTGTGTTTGAGTTACTCATTTCTCAAGGCACCACTGTACAGAATGTTCTAAGAGCAACGTTAATTTCTTGAATGCACAAAAAGACGCGTCACGGTGTAAAACGTGGAAAAAAAGTTCCAAGTTTAATTGTAATCATTAAGCGCATGTTTGGGCCCACTTCGGTGAACCCTGACGGGAATGAGTGCAAGATAAAGTCATGCGTAACAAGTGTCAACACCAAACACGGATTATTGTCCTTTCTCACATCAGCTGCAATACTGGAGACTTTATTTAATGGCCGTGGTGCTTGGAATCGGAGGCTCCTTTCAGTATGGGATTCAAGTGTCCGTTGTTGCTGCTCCAGCCGTGGTAAGATGTGCATTCCTCAAACAACACACATTTGGCTCTTCTTGCATTCGTTTAGTTTAGTTGAGTTTGATAAATACAGAAGCTGGATATAGATATACAATATTATTGCTGCATAGTAAGAGCATATTTATATCATTGGATAGAGAGCGTGTGCATGTGACATTCGTTTGTAGAAAGAAATGGTGATGTCATTGGAAACGGAAAGTATACTGAAGTCATCAGATGGGGAGCGCATACTTACATCATTGGAAGATGATACTGTTCCTGGATAAGGAGAGCACACTTATGTCATCAGATGGACAGAACATGCTAGATCATTAGATCGGGACAGATGACTTTATCATTAGATAGGGAGAGTATACTAACCGTGTGTCATTGGATAGAGAGATCATATGATATGACTGGCAAGGGAGAGCATACTTATGTCATTGGATAGGGAAAGTGTATTACGTCTTTAATTCGGGAACACGTGCTTGTGTCATTATATAGGGAGAACATGTGTATGTCGTCATATAAGGCAGATACAGATAGGGAACGCATATTTATCATCAGTGGATAGTGAGAGTATCCTTGTGTCACCAGATGAGACCTATGTATTGTATTGGAAACAGAGAGCATACGCGATGTATGTCATTGGAGAGGGACCGCATAACCGGCCATGCCATCCATCCATCCATTTTCCGATCCGCTTTATCCTCACAAGGGTCGCGAGGGGTACTGGATCCTACCCCAGCTGTCTTTGGGCAGCAGGCTAGGGGACACCCTGAACTGGGTGCCAGCCAATCGTAGGGCACACAAAGACGAACAACTCAAACCTAGGAACAACTTCGAGTGTTCCATTAACCTGCCATGCATGTTTTTGCAATGTGGGAGGAAACCTGAGTACCCGGACAAAACCCACGCTGGCACGGGGAGAACATGCAAAATCCACACAGGAAGGCTGGAGCTGGAATCGAACACAGTATTTCTGCACTGTGAGGTCAACGTGCTAACCACTGGACCACCCCAGGGCACCCCCGGCCATGCCATTGAATATAAAGGTCGTACTTACTGAATGTCATCAGTCAGTACCTCCTTAGGGAATACATGTGTTGCAGCTCCGAAGCAAACAGAGCTGTCGTGTTGGTTTTTAAAATATGCACTTTATTCATTCGTGAAAACACCCAAGAAAATACAGACAGACACGTCCCTGTTGGACTACGTGCCCTTTTTTTAACTGCCGTACAACTCGAGAGACGTTTAAGGGCCGCCTCTGAAAACCCGTAAATTAATGATTACTTCACTGACACTCAGAAAAGCGAAACTAAACCAACAAAATAGAAAATCAAGTGAATAACATAAACATTTTCCTACACGTGCTTAATTCATTGTTCAGGGAGAGTATGTCATTATATATATGGAAAACGTATTATGCGACTGGATGGAGAAGGCATACATTTGTCATTGTAAAGAGAGGCCATAGCGACAAAGTAGTACCTGAAAATAAGGAGCGCATCTGAGCTTTTTGTCGTTTGTGCAGCACGTTCAGACGTTTGTCAATTACACGTGGATGTGGCGCTACCAAACGCCCGTGGACGAATCCACCAAGCAGCTCATCTGGTCCTTCATCGTTGCCGTGATGAGTTTGGGAGCGTGGGTCGGCGCCATCAACGCAGGCAGTCTCCCCGTCAAATATGGCCGGTGGGGACACGTCACATCAACGCACCTGGTTTGTTAGATGGTGACAAAGTTACCCCACAAAAACAAGCATTTGCATGATATTGTGTTGCAGGAAAAAAACAATGTTGTTTAACAGCGTCGTGGCCGTGGTGGCGGCTTTGTTCATGATTTTCAGTCGCACGGCCAAGTCCTTTGAGATGATTTTGATTGGCCGGTTACTCTTCGGCTATAATGCTGGTACGTCGTTGAGGACAATCATCCTGTGGGATGTTTTTTCCTAGTTTCCTCACTCATCTTTTTTTCCCCGTTCTACTGGCAGGTCTTGGCTTGAGCGTGCATCTCATGTACTTGGGTGAAAGTTCGCCGAAGAAACTCAGAGGCTTTCTGACCCTTACCGGCTCCATGTTTATGGCTTTGGGGAAAATGATGGGTCAAATCATCGGCATCAAGTAGGGAGTGTTTTCAAACATTAGAAAGTGACACAGATATGCGACCTACTCGGCCGCCGTGCTGCCCGCCTGATTGCCGATTCCCTTGCAGAGGAACTACCAAATATTCAGAAAAGCTTGGATCGAGAAGAACATTTCATTCTTAGTTCGGTTAAACTCTTCTGAGTCATGATAATGTCATGTGTCGTTGAAAATGTGTTATTTGCAGCTGAATGAATTCTTGACAATTAAATAATTCCTTGTCACAGTGAATAGGTCGCTCGATATTTTCAATATTAGAACAATAGTGATAAAACCACACTCACCAGTGAGCATCCCGCACTCTGTCCAGGGAGATGATGGGCACCGATGAAATGTGGCCTTTTCTTCTGGCCATCAGCGGCATTCCCGCCATTTTGCCGCTCCTGACGCTCTTCTTCTTCCCTGAGTCGCCCCGGTACCTTTACATCGACAAAGGAGACAGTGACGGTGCCAAGAAAGGTGAGTGCATCCGTCCCAATCCAGAATGGAACATCTTTGGGGGTTGTACACAGTCACAAAAAAGACGGGTACTGGAGGGATCCATTTTTGTTCTCCAACCTTTTGTGATATCCCCTATGAGGTTCGCAATTGAGGTACAAATAAGTACGGTTTATGGTTCAAATCGGCAAAGTGATCATGTCTGCAACCGTTTTGTTTACATGTAAGGATACAAACAAGTGCTGGGTTTGTGTGAATGCCTTTCGACATAACCCAGTGTTGTATGGACTGCATTTTAATTAAAGAATTGAGTAGCAGTAGCAACAATCTAAACCAGGGATGGGCAACATAATGCACTTTATGCGATTTCAACGAAATGTCAATGGTTCTTGTGGAGAAAATAAAAAATCGCTGTTGTTTGTGTACTTTTGTACTTTTTCCATCTTGTTTATGTTATACATAGTTCATTCAAAGTGTGTCTTTAGTAACTTGACGCATTAAATTTAGGTTGTGTGTTGGGAACACAAAACCGTGACCGTGACTTATATAGCATCCACATTAAAAGCCAAGTTAAGGTATTCGCCATCTGATATTTCAGCAGTAAACATGTTTGTGCCTCACGTGGTTGCATGATGGACCCTTCTTCTTCTTTGTGTTGCAAGAGTCTCCGTTAACTTGTTCTTCTTTTCGAATGGAGATGAACAGGTGGAAGTGATACTAAGTCATGTCTGCCATCTAGCTGTGAATGATGTAATTACAACTTAAAACTGATCAGGTGTGGTAGGGCAGGGGTCCCCAACCTTTTTTGCCCCACGGACCGGTTTATGTCAGACAATATTTTCAGGGACCGGCATTTAAGGTGTGGCGGAAATAATACAACAAAATAATATGGTATGAGCTGCATGGAAACTGTGGTGTTTTCGAAATATAATAATAAACACAAGGAGCGTCTAATCTGGCCGCAACACTCTCTCTGATCGCTATGGTAATGTTTAATGCCTTCAAAATACGATACAACGCAAATTCAAAGTGCATGACAATGACGACTCACCACAGCCCCGAGCTTGATTTTCTGCAACCAGACGGTCCCATCTCGGGGTAATAGGAGACAATGACACCTCAAGTGTGTCCAGTCTACTTCGTAATTTTGTTTTAGTCGCCGTTGCTGCAGAAAA